GGGGCCCAATCGCAGCCGCGACGGGTGGGTCTCATTGTCATAATTTATGCAGCGCGGGCACCCCCTGGTGGGGCGGAGCGGGGCCGGGGATGGGGATGGGGATGGGGATAGGGATGAAGATGGGGGTAGGGATGAAGATGGGGATAGGGATGAAGACGGGGATGGGGACAGGGATGGGGATGAGGACAAAGATGAGGATGGCCATGGGGAGTCCCAGTTTTGCCCAGCCATGCTGCCCATCGCCACCACACCCCTGCATGCCCCGTAGGCATCCCTGCCCCTTACCTTCCTATCCTGCCCATCCCAGCTCCGAAGAAACCCCCACAAACCCGGCCTTTTTCTAACCTGACAGATTTATTGAAAAATTAAAAGCACAAGCTCTCTCTATATACATACGATGATGTTGCCAGCAATTTACAAGGCCTTCGGTTGCTCTCTCTGCATCCTTTACCTGTGGCCCCTGCCGCCCGCCTGGGCACGGGGGCGAGCACCCAAAAACCCCTCCAGCCCGAGCCACGGGCCCACCTTGCTCTGCGTGTGGCACTCGAATGACACTGGGGACACCGAGACCCCCGCCGTCCTCCCACCCCGCTCCCCAGCCTGGCCGAGGAGGAGAGGGTGTCCCCAAAGGGCAGCCCCCCCACCCCAGAGAGAAGAGGGATGAAGACTTGAAGGGATGTGCACTGATTTCTGCCCGTTCTCAGCCTGCCCTACCCAGGCAGTGAGAGTCTGCGGTGGGCAGGGGGGGACATTTGGGGACAAGCTGGGGGTGTCCTAAAGGGCGACGTTGAATTCTGTGACCAAGAAATCAATGTAGTCCTTTTCCTTCAGCTTAAAGGCTTCAGCGATGATACGGGCGGCTTCCCGATGCTCTTTGCCCCGTAGCCCCGTGCCATTCACTTCCAAAATGACGTGGCCCACCTTCAGCTTCCCGCAGTTGTGTGCCGAACCTCCGCGCTGCGGGAGAGAGGCAGTCAGCTCATGGTCCCACCACCCCCGGCTCAACCCAGGGATGAAATACAGGTGGGGTTTGGGAAAATGTGAAATGAAACATTTCCCATTTTGGACAGGGGATGAATTTGGCTTCCCTCCTGCTTGCTCCCAGTGCCAGCTGGGATGGCCAAGAATAACCAAGGCACAGTCAGCTCTGCTTTTCTTTTGCTGTAAATAACTTGAATTTTGCCCCAAGTAAACAGCAAAGGAAATGGTGTGGGGAGACAGTTCCCAAGGGCTCGGTTCCCCAGCTATCATCCACCATTCCCCCCTTCCCAGTCCTCTATTCAAGCAGAAAAAGGGAGTTTCCAGACATCTGGAGACACCAGCCAAGCTTTCGGGGCGGCCCAGACCCCCTCTGAAACGTCTGCAGCAAATCCTTGGCTCCCAGGCCGTGTTTTATGGTATGGGATCATCCACGGGACACGAATGCAATCCTCAGCAGCCCCCCCCCCCCCCCCAGCAGAATGATGCCTCTGATGCCTGGGGAGATGCACGGCTATAGGAGGGGGAAAGCACACCTCCAAAATCCCTTTCCTGATGTCCAGGGATGAGAGGGATGGGATGTGCATCGAGTTCTTCCCATTCTCAGCTTGCCCTACCTGGATGGTGACGATGCGGGGCAGTGGCTGCCGCGTGTTTGCTCCACCCTCGATGGCGATCCCCAAGGTTGGCGCGCTCTTGGACACTCGGATCAGACACGATGTGGGCTCCAGGAGCCCCGGCTGCGGGGAGAGACAGCAGCGATGCCAAGGGAGGCCGGGCACCGCCTGCCTGCCGCGTTCCCTCGGCCGGAGCCCCACGGCAGGCAGGTTCACCCAGGGCAGGCTTCCACGGGAAGGGGACTGACACGCTGCCTGCAGTTGCTCTCTGCCTCCTGACATCCAAGATCCCAACCCAGTGCAGGTCTGGAGGGGCTTGGGGAGGAGCAGAGCAGCTCTCCGGCTCCCTGCCTACACCCCTCAACCTTGCCGCCATCAGAAACCCTCCGATCTACCTCTGGCACCTGATGCCACCTTCCCTGCTGGGCGCAGGTGACTTCACTCATGGGACACTGTGCCATGGGGAGGCCTCCTCAGAGCCCGCATCTCTGCCACGTCCCAAGCAGCTGCTTGCTGGAGCTGGGAGGGACGGGATTTACCCAGGATGGAGTGAATCGGCCCCACAGAGCCCCTCAGCCACTCCTGGCTCCCGTCCCCACAGCTCAGCCCACCAGCCAGCTGCCTCAGCTACTGAACAAGAGGATACATAACCCATCAAAGCGAAAAGCCGGCAGAGGGAGCAGAGCCGAGGCAGCGGGGAGCAGCACTGCCCCGTGGCAGCCCCGGGCGCCCACCTCCCACCAACGGCAGCACCCCGAGGCCCCGGGGCACCCAGCCTCACCGGCTTGGAGGCCCCTTCTGCTGTCCCCTCGCTCCTCGCAGCCTCCTTGAGGCTTCGGCTTTTCCCAGGGACCGGCTGCCGGCTCTTGTCCTTGCCGCTCATCTCGACCTCCCCGATGTCCACCCCGCTGTCCTCGCTGAGGGTCTGCCCGCTGTCCGACAGCTGGGAGAGCGTGGAGGCTGGGGAGAGACGAGGGCTGTTAGAGGTCGGGCAGCGCGGGCTCTGCGGCCAGCCGAGCACCCACAGGGCCACCTACCAGAGGACGGACATCCCACCCGCTCCCAGGGCTGGGCAGCTTCCCTGGGATTTAGCCCTGGACTTCAGAGCAGGGTTCCCAAGCTGACCCCTCCTGAAGAGCAAAGCTGTGCACAGGGAGCATCAAGGAACAAGTGGCCTCAAACCCAGGTCCAGGATCCAACCTGGATCCCAAAGTGGGATGGAGGGAGAGAGTGAGGAGTTCAGGGATCCTGCT